CCCAGCAGTTTTCCAAGCGCTGGTCAATGATGTACTCAGGGAGTTTTTGAACGCGTTTGTCTTTGTGTATTTGGATGACATTTTAATCTTCTCTCCTGATAAGAAGACTCATGTCCACCAAGTACTACAGCGCCTACTGGATAATCACCTGTTCGTAAAAGCAGAGAACTGTGAGTTCCATGCATCAACTGTCTCATTCCTGGGGTTCATCATTTCTCCTGGACAAATCCTGATGGACCCTGCAAAGGTCAGTGCAGTGGCAGACTGGGCCACCCCCACCAATAGGAAGAAGGTACAGCAGTTTTTGGGGTTTGCTAACTTCTACAGACGATTTATTAGGAACTTTAGCTCTGTTGCTGCTCCCCTTCATGCACTGACCTCACCAGGGGTTTACTTTGTGTGGGGCCTCAGGGCCGAGGAGGCTTTTAATGAATTAAAAAGAAGGTTTACCACAGCTCCCATACTGACTGTTCCTGATCCTCAACGACAGTTTGTTGTGGAGGTGGATGCCTCCAATGATGGGGTGGGGGCCATTCTCTCACAGAGAGCGGCTGGGGATCATAAGATGCATCCTTGTGCCTTTTTGTCTCGCAAACTATCTTCCGCAGAGAGAAAGTACGACGTCGGAAACCGAGAGCTGTTGGCAGTCAAGATGGCTCTGGAGGAGTAGAGGCACTGGCTTGAGGGGGCACCACAGCCGTTCTTGGTTTGGACCGACCACAAGAACCTTCAATACATCCGCAAAGCTAAGAGGTTGAACTCATGCCAGGCGCCAACTTTTTTTCAACCGTTTTGACTTTACATTGTCTTTCAGACCTGGGTCCAAGAATGGCAAACCTGACGTCCTCTCACGCCTCCATGACCCAGAGCCCATAGCCAAGGATCCAGAGCCAATCTTTCCACTCTCCCGTGTGGTTGGGGTGGTGACATGGCCTATAGTAGATCAGGTGAAACGTGTCAATGGTGAGGGGCCGAAACCTAGTGGCTGTCCATTGGACAGGCTATTCGTGCCTGAATCCATGCGGTCACAGGTTATTCATTGGTCTCACACATTACTGCTCACTTGTCATCCAGGGGTCAAGCGGACCGTATTCGTCGTTCGACAGAGGTTTTGGTGGCCTTCCTTGGTTAAGGATGTCTCCGAATATGTGGCTGCCTGTGTAGTTTGTGCCAGGAATAAGACGTCATCAAAATCACAGATGGGACTGCTGCAGCCTCTCCCCGTTCCCAGCAGGCCCTGGTCTGACATTTCGTTGGATTTTGTCACAGGTCTTCCTCCATCCAAGGGTAACACCAAGTCCTCACTGTAGTGGACAGGTTCTCTAAGATGGTCCATTTTATTGCCATGCCAAAGTTGCCGTCAGCTAAAGAGACTGCTTGGGCGTTATTGACTCATGTTGTCCGTATTCATGGTATTCCCAGATACATTGTGTCGGATCGAGGTCCTCAGTTTTCCTCCAGGTTCTGGAAGGAGTTTTGCACCCTCCTGGGAACGTCCGTCAGCCTCACCTCAGGTTATCATCCCCAGTCCAACGGACAGACGGAACGGCTGAATCAGGAGCTGGAGACGTGCCTGCGCTGCCTGGTTTCTCAGAACCCTGCAACCTGGAGCGAGCATCTGACATGGGTGGAGTATGCACGGAACTCTTTGCCCACCTCTGCTACCGGTCTGTCTCCCTTTCACTGTGTCTTTGGCTATCAGCCTCCTCTATTCTTAGAAACTGAGAAGGAGGTGGTGGTGCCATCTGCTCACGCCTTAGTCAGAAGATGCCACCGTGTCTGGGCTGCAGCTCGTCGGGTCCTCCTGAGGAATTCGGCTCGGATGAAGACGGTGGTGGATCAACGGCGGCGGGCGGCACCTACATACAGACCGGGGCAGCGGGTGTGGTTGTCCAAAAAGGATCTGCCACTCAGGGTCTTGTCAAAGAAGCTCGCTCCAAGGTTTGTGGGTCCATTTCCTGTCACTAAAATAATCAATCCTGTATCTGTCCGTCTTCGTCTGCCCAGGTCACTACGGGTTCATCCAACGTTCCACGTCAGCCGAATCAAGCCGGTTCTGGACAGTCCCCTGGTTCCACCCTCCAACCCCCCCCCCAACCCCCCCCCCCCCCCCCCCCGTGTTGTTGATGGTGGTCCGGTGTACTCTGTCAAAGTCTCCTGTCAGTGAGAAATCGAGGCCGAGGTCGTCAATTTCTGGTTGATTGGGAGGGCGGCCGTCACGTGTCGTCCCTAGAGGGGAGGGTACTGTTGTGCGTAGACAGCTCTGCTAAGATTGTTCCCTAGTTTAGGTTTCATGTTATGTGTTTAGATAGGTTCCTGTTTTATTTTGATAGTCTTGTCTACCCTCATGTGTCTAAAGTACGTTTCCTGCCTTGTCTGTTTTCCCGCTGTTGTGATTGTCTAATTGTCTTCACCTGGTGTTGTCTGTCTAGTATATATAGTTCTCGTCTTCCCCTGTCTCGTTGCCAGATTGTCTTGTGTGTTCCAAGCCTTCCAGCGTAAGATCATTTTGTCATTGTCCATAGAGTTATCGTCCATAGAGTTAGATTAGTGTATTAGTAGTTTTTGTTTTGTTGCTTTATGTATTCAGTGTGTTATGACCTGTCTACATTAAAACACTTTAATTTGATACTTTGTTTGTCTCTGCATCGTGCATTTGATTCCACGCCCTTGTACAGCCCTAACATCATCTCCTTGTTATTGCCGTGACATTTCACTGAAGAGTCTAGGATGAGCTAAGAGGCAACGTTACCTCATAGCTCATCCATTTTATCAAATGGAATGTGCAACCATGTTTGAATGTATAGAGGACGGGGCTGTCACTGGGTTTATTAAAGCGGGTACCCTTTGTCAGAGATGTCTCAGTAAATTAGCTCTTGACGCAACCAGAAGGCTCAGGCATTCGTAAATCCACAGACAGCTAAAGTCGTTATACCAAGGCCCCGGATCTCAAACGAATGTAGTTCTAAATGTATTCCCGATGACTGAGCAAACGAGGGCAGCTATCAACGCTTTTTTAATATCTCTGACAGTCGTGGTTGTTGACCTTTAGCTTTCAAGTATACCCAGACTTCTGCTTTCATTTTATATTGAGCCGTTTATTGACTAGGCTGCAATCAAGCAACGCCTACATCTGATTTCAGATGTACTATACAAATGTTTATAAAAACAACTAAAAGGGCACCCAGTGGGCGCAGACCTCCGCCAAGGCTGTCTCCATAATTGAAAAACTCATGGATCTGCTCCCTATTTAATGGGTTTTTACTTTGCCCTTTCCACAAAGTTTTATTAAAATTGGTTCAGAAGTTGTGCTCAACACAACTAAACAAACCAAAAACATATCCTCCTTAGTGAAAGTTATAAAAGGTACTTTGTTATATTTAAATGAAAAGGGCGGAATCTCATTGCAGCATCTTTATCCAAGCTACTTTAGCAAGATTCTTCGGGAGTTGGAGGTCACCTGCTTTCAATGTTTGGGTTTGTTTCAAGGTGCCACTCAGCTCTTGGTAAATCAGTCCGATGTGTGGGTGCTAAAGCAACTCTGGCTTGACCCTACCAATCAAATGTCTGTCTCTGACCCAGTCTTTCAGCCCACAGAATGGGAAAAAGAGGGAAGTCATATTGTTGCCTGTTAGATAAAAGCTGTGCCTTGTTGTCATAGCATCCACACAATAAACAAAAGTGCTCTGGGTATCACAGCAAATGCTTTAGGGGGACGTCAAACACCTCATGGCATATCTGCAGCTCTAATGGACAAGTTCTCAATCCCTGTAAACAAGTGGCATATCTTTGTAAAAATAAAATGGGGAAAAGTTGCTCTCCAGCAGCCTAACACGCATGGAAGCTGGATGAATAACATTTTCCTCAAAGCGTTGAAAATGAAAAATAAATACACAAAGCGGATGTTTTATCTGCCTTGGGTCTCGTCATGCTGCTTCCCTGATGGCTTCCATAGGATTGTAGCTGACATCCTCGTGGATTCATCTTCTTATTACAGACACATGCATTTCTTAACATTCGGTCTATATGCTGTAAAATGTATTATCTCTTCGATGTACACACGGCATCTATTGCACGTCTGTCCGTCCTGGGAGAGGGATCCCTCCTCTGTTTGCTCTCCCTGAGGATTCTCCCATTTTTCCCCTTAAACTGTGGGTTTTCTCTGGAAGTTTTTCCTTGTACGATGTGAGGGTCATTGAGGGTGTCGTTTGAGGGTGTCATTTTTCTCATACTGATATTCTGAACAATCTGTGCTGTTGTATTTGCTGTAAAGTGTCTCTACTGTAGGCTATTTTTATTATATGTACAGCACTTTGGCTCGACCAAAAATCGTTTATAAATGTGCTATATAAATAAAACTTGATTTGATCTCAGTGTTTTCATTATGAAAGCAAGGTCATGTTTTTAAAAGTTTACTGAGTTATCTGAAAAACCTCCCTGGTGCCCTGGTTTTCTGACCAAAACATTTAAAAATGGTAAATTAGAAAATAAAGGTTTTTGAGAATTTATATAATAATGTGTCATCTTTTTTTTCCCTCTGTGGGACGAAATAAAGGCATTCTGATCTGTTAACTTCAACCTATATATGGATCATGTTGTTTTATATAACATAGTTTCAACAGTTTTTAATGTTGTTGTGTATGCTCTGTAACCATAATGATATAGCCTATATATTTAACGTTTATAATATGGATATTTGTTGTAAAACTGCATTTCAAATATACATATGTGGTTTCCTCTGTTTCGGGATCCCTCTGTTAACAGTTTTTGAATACTTTTCTCTATATGCAAAGTTTATATTATAATAGAAGTAGTAGCAGCATTGTAGCCTATTAGTAATTAGTAGTGGAAGCAGCACTAAAGAAGCAGCAGTTGGTTGAATGTCGCTTTCTGTATTGTCTTTCTCTATCTCTATTGACAAATGCTGCATTCCTCTTGGTCACGTGACCAGCCCGCTGTCTAATCACATCGTTCAAATGGAGTGACGCAGGAAATTCAAAGTCGGCAGCAACGTCTCTGCTAAGAGGTTTGGCCTGCAGCATTTTCACCGGCAGCTGAAGCTTTTTAAAAGCTTCTAAAAGTTATTTATCTCCATGTTTTCATACGAGGGAATCGGGATTTCACTATAAGAATGAATGGTAAAGTTATTGGAACGGGTCCATACCGGGCAACCAAGCTGGTGAGTCTGTTGTTTCATGTTGGAAGCGTTACATAACGTTCTTTCCAGCTTTCATTTCATTACGTTTTAAGCTAACAGTTGTTTTACTTTTGCTCTGGTAACGTGACTGAGTTTACGCGTTTTAAATAGTCGGCACCAAATAATAGGACATTTACTAAAAGGGCTCGAAATGTATGTTCAACCAAAGCAACTTGTTATGAAAAAGTTCAGCTCTGCTTTTCTGTGGTTGACCTGACTTTATCAGAACTATTTAGTAAGTGTTGTTTAGCATTTATAATCACTCAATTTACATAAGTATTCCCAAGTGTTTACGTAAAGGGACATTGTTGTATCTACCAGGTTAATGGTGTGCTAATGTGTTCTCTGTGCTAATGCAACATGCATCCTTGGCAGTCACTATCAGCTATTTAATTACATGATAAAGAAAAACACAACATGCAATATTGTTTCTGGCTTTTTTGAATATTTAACCCCTTTCAACACCATTCAATCACTGCATGGTTTACATTAATGCAACACCCACACACATAATCTATATGTTGTTACGCAATAGTGAGCATACCACATTAACAACAGGCTGGTATTTTATTTTTTTAGATGCACATTTGAATCCCAGTGAGTTATTTACAAACCACATGGTTCCCCATAAGCCTTTTTGATAGCACTCACTTAATTCTTAAATACTAAAAGCACAGGTGTTCCTTATATATTTAACGAGCGCTATGTTCCACTTAAGCCTCCAGCATGCACAATAGCAGGGTCCTGAAACAAAAGCAGCTTAATGGAATTCAGCCATTGTCCATTTTATTATTTGAACCTCTGCCTTTCTTTCTGTGACAATGTCAACATGTCTTTGTTACCATGTCAGGACAATCTCTTTAGAAAAGCCCTCTGCTTGGTCAATAATAATGAGATGAAGTTTGACAGTGTACTGTAGTGGACAGGTTCTCTAAGATGGTCCATTTTACAGTGTACTGTGGCAAAAATGGTGTACCAAAATATTTTTACATTTACCTGATTGTTTTCTGCCTAGTTTATTCAGCTAGAGTTAGGTCTCATACAGCATGGAGCATGTTGAAATACAGTTTATTGAAGTGTTCTTAACAAACTAAAGTTAGTACCTTGTAAAAACATATTTATTTTCCCCCAATGCCCGTTTTTCTCAGGAGACACACATTCCACTTCCCCAAAAAATACCGATGAGCTGGAGAGACATGCCGAGAGATTTTCTTTATTAATGAAAGAATACTTCTGCCTCTTCCCCCAATTGGCTCCAGACTTACTTGTTGGCTTTTAAATGTCTCAAGTTTTTCAATTTTTCACATTTGACGTTTATTTATTTTCAAAATTCGACCAACAGAAGTGGGCAGTAATTTGCTTCAAACAACAGTGTGATAATCTCCTGGGTTGTAATGACCTTGTAAAACCAAAATGTCCTGCTCCATCCCTCTACTTCCATCTTCTTCTTTTTTTATCTACTACTACTTCTGGTGACTAGATGAGTGTAGTCTGGATACTGCGTGTGATTGTAATTAGAGATGTCCCGATCCCGATCTCCGGATCGGATCGGCCCCCGATACTGGGTTTTAAGGTGGATCGGGATCGGCAGATCCAATTAAAAGTCATGGCCGATCCATAGTTAATATTTCCCATGATTCCATTGTTACGTTGTTACGTTGTTTGTCGTTGTTGTTCTATTGCATCAGCCGCCATTATCGAGTTGGAAAAGTGGAACGGACACATATCGTTGGCTAGTTAAAATGTCTGCAGTTTGGCATCATTTTTAAAATAACTACAAGTGAGTCGCCGACTGCGACATGCAAAGTCTGTGGTGTGGAAGTCTCACGAGGTGGTGCTAACAGGGTCTCCTTCAACACCACAAACCTAATAAAACATCTTAAAAAGCACCACCCCGACGAACACGCCGCCTACTGTAAAGCGACAGCGTCTGCGACTGATGGACTCCATCAACAAACACTGCGGGACAGCTTGAAACGAAAGGCTTTACTTCCTCGAGACTCCGAGAGATTTCGCAAGATTACTGAGCTGATTGTGGAGTGCATAGCAGGGGACGACCAGCCAATTTCACTTGTGGAAAACTCCGGTTTTTGTCGTCTAATACATTATTTGGGTGCCTGTCTATTTCTTAATGTATACGAAATTAAATGCTGTTTGCCAACACAAAAAGTGATATCGGAAATCGGTATCGGAAAACCGGTATCGGGAAATATCGAGATCGGATCGGAACCTATATGAAAATATCGGAATCGGATCGGAAGCTAAAAAATGAGATCGGGACATCCCTAATTGTAATCGCTATTCAGAGACTAGTTATGTGCACATATTTACTGCTGCAACATAATATTGTATGAATAAAATTAGTAACATGCACAGTTTTTTACTACAACAAGCTCTATATGTGTGTCTGTTTTCCCAGTTACTAGAACAGTGTAACAAAGCCTCAATAACATTAAAAACAGGAACTCAGTGAATGTATCAAATGCTGCTATCTGGGCTCTATCAGCAGTGTTGCTAGATGTAGTTGGTTTCCTCCCAAATGGGCTTGTTTCATTAAGTTGGACGGGGAAAATTGCGTTGGGCTGGTAAATGAAATTTGGAATGCTTTTGTCAACATTTTGTTGGTTTTTGAACATATTGTGGAAACAATATTACCAAACAGTCCTGTCATTTTATGGTCGAGCCAATTGTGTTCACTCACTCATATTATTCACTCATTTATAAATAGTTGATTTTTACAAGTTGTACAATTTAATTAATCTTAACTGATAGCTAATGACCAAGTGTTTCCCACAGAATTTGATTCTATTTGTGGGGGCACCGCACCGCACATTAGTATTGGTGTTCCAGGCGGGATTTGAACTCGCAACCTTCAGATCATCAGCCCACCTCACTATCCATTAGACCAGTGATTCTCAAATGGGGGTACGCGGACCCCTGGGGGTATGTTTGGGTTCTGCAGGGGGTACGTGAGATTTACAACAACAACAAAAAAGGTTATTTAAAAAAATAATCTTAGTAAAATAAGTTAAATAGAAAACACAATTGTATATAAAACATTCCTAGAACCACCAAGGGGGTCCTCATATAAACATGTCAAATGTGTGTATTGTATTTTATAGTTTTTCACAATACTGACTTAAATTGAAAAACTCCTTAGAAAAATCTGTTTTATAAAAGTGTTATGTTATTTTTTTTCATGCATAAAATGAAAATATCCTTAGTTTGTTGTAATGCATACCACGAAGGAGTTAATACATCACACACTGAGGGAACATCACTATATTGTAATTATTTATATAGGCTTTTTCGATCAAAAATGTTCGGGATCGGTCAGGGGGTACTTGGCTGAGAAAATGTTTCAAAGGGGGTACATTACTGAAAAAAGTTTGAGAAGCACTGCATTAGACCACCAACATTCTTTTTTTTCTTTTTTTATGAGATCCATTTGTAGCGGATGATATTTAATTGTGGCGGCCTGCCACAAATAAATCAATGTATGATTGTATGTAGTTATCGTTGACTGACTGCACCCTTATCTTTGGTTATTTGATTCAAACATTAAGCTTTATATGATTGTGATCTTTTTACCCTTCTATTGCATATGTGAAGGTTTAATGTAGTTTCTGGTGGGTTATGATTTAAGGTAATTTTTTACTGAGTGAGGCTTGCAACTATCCATCTGATCTGGCAACACTGTCTATCATAGAAGCAGCCTAAGTGACATATTTACATGTCATATCTCACCCCTAGATTCCACCGGGTCCGTCTGCGGCGCGTTACGGCCGCGTTACGGCCATGTTACGGCTGCGCCATGGCGTCCGCAAGGATCGCGGCCACTCTAGTCAATGGGTGCTATTCCACCACACGCGGCGCGTTACGGCTCAGAAGCGTCCCAGAAGTGCCTCGGCGCAGGGCTCCTCTAAAATGAGGATGAATCCTATTTTTTACGCGGCGCAGCCGTAACATAAGGTCGGGCAGGCAGGAAGTGGAACGGTCGGAGCATATATATATATATAGCATATATATATATATATATACACACACACACACAAACTAATTTTGCAGACCCTATCCCTCCGTAGTCTTTCAAGTAGGAAGAGAAATGCCAGCGTTCTCCTCCGGTTTACAGGCATTGTGTAAATTATATATATAGAATAATTATGATGATGAATGCATTTTTTTACCACTAAAATACAGCAACACATCTTTGATTCATGTCGTTTATAACTGGGATATTACAATTATTATGAACTTTGTCTGTACAAATTAGCCTGTCCAGGAAATATGCCCAAATCAACAAAAACTGCGAGCCGGCAGGCAAGACGCTCCGCTTCTGAAATGCTTCTGAAACGCGCCCGGTAGGGTATGACGCCGGAGGAGGCCGGGCCAAAACCGCGGCGCAGCCGTAACGGGCCGCAGACGGATCCGGTGGAATCTAGGGGTTACAGTATTACACTAGATTGCAAACAAACACATCTGAATTCACTGTCTGTAGCAGAAGTTTTCTCAGCATTTGTCTCACCACATTGTCTCCCTCCCTCTGTCACATGTGTCCCCCACCTCTGCAGTGGAATGAAACCATTAAACTGTTCCGTGGAGGCTTGCCGCTGAGAAGGCACTGGGCGAACTTCCGCTCCTATGATTGCAGTTTCACAGGAGCTGAGGCTGTCGATTATCTGCACGATCTGCTGAGGCGCAATTACAACTTTGGGCCCGAAGTGACTCGCTACCAGACTCTGCAGCTGCTCAGGAAGTTCCTCAAGGCTCATGTAATCGAAGACATCAAAGGACGCCACGGGACAGAGGACTTTGAAGACAATGGCCATCTGTACAGGTACTTAATTGTCATCCTGTACTGTTCATGGTATTTGACACACTAGTGTCGCACGAGTGGTGCATTAATGTCGTATGTTTTAAGACTGACAGGGAAGCATCGCAAATGCTCCCTCGACATAAAGTAATGGGATTATTCCATTAGATTTCACAATATTGAAGGAAGATAAGATCTGTGGCGAACATGTTTATGATACAACATGTTTTATTCAGCAGAATAATCTAAACATTTGACCACAAATGTTGTTGTGGTTGAAGAGTAAATGCAATTGGCAGAAGTAGAAAGCTAACGTTAGGCTATAAACCAATGACATCAATGTCGCATAGGTTCATGTCACCACCGCTAAGCTAACAAACTTGTGATCAGCGAGATGACATTTAGTACTCTAATCTTAGTAACTTGTTAGCAACCATCATTTTTAAGACAAGGAAAAGCTTCAGACATTAATGGTTGAGTTTTTACTGACATATTCTAAGTTCAACAGACCTCACAACAGGCATTGAACAACAAACGAGTTCAATAAACCTTTGACTTCAAGGGAGGGAACCAGACGTGGTCAAATGCTCACTCCTTTCCGGGTTCTAGGACTCATTCCTGCACCACTCTATAGAGCGCTTTTGCTTTTGCTCTTGCTCTTACCTTAAGTCCCTCTTCCAATCCTACACCTCACAGCAGCATCACGTTCTTAGCTCAGTCAAATGAGGGAAAATAAGTATGGGTTAGGCTTTTTGAGCATTTGACATGATCTTATGAAACAATGATTCAAATATGGGTTATCAGGTGTTCGTACTGGGTAGTCGATTTAAGTGAAAATAAACGTGTTGTTGTTGCTTCTACAGAGTTGGCCCCTTCATCTTTTTCAGCTAAACCCAGTGCTGTTGTCTCTCTCTTCAGGTTCCCCCCACTGTCTCCCCTGAAATCCTTCCCAACAAAGCCTCTGTTTAGAGACTGCGGTGACCTTCCCAGACTCATTCGTTGGGATGACTACGAAGAATTACCTCAGCGGGAAAACATAGCACCACTGAAGTCTTCTGTCATGGTGAGAGGAAGACAAAGATGTGTCAGCTGCTCCACTGCCTTGCCTAGACTCACGCAGGGCTTAATGTGCTTAAGCGTATTCATGGAGAGCAAATGGCAAGAGGAGATGATTTCAAGTCTCTACTCTGATGCAGTTACAGCTGTAATCAGTCATTCTGCACTTTTAAAGCAAAGTGCATTGAGAGGTAATGCAGTACAAGAGGCCTATATTTGTACTTACTGCAGCTGAAGTTTATTTGTTGAACTTCATTTTATGGTGCAGCTTTATGGATGTGTGTTTAATAGCATTATATTGAAGGGCTTTTCTAATACTTTGTTCACTATATTTGCATTTATGGAGAAAAAAACTGCGGAAATCTATACACCAACAGTGCAATACAATACTGTGGAACGACAACAAAAACTACAGTTTGAAAAAAACCCTGATTAATGTTAACATGTGATTCAAACATTGACAGAAATGAAATGAATGCTGTTTGTTTTTGTGCCTTTGTATTGTACTTTAGGCAGTTACACACTGCCTACATTTTGTTCTGCCCTCGTAATCTAAGTCAAAAGTAACCTTTTCTCATTCATGTATCCATTTCTTTTTTAATCAGACCTCAGATCTGTGGAATAAGAGGCACAGTGTTGCTATTGGGGATGTGAATGAATGCAAGCTCATACGAAGGAAGGAGATAACTACGAAGCAAGTGGACCACATCTGGAAATCAATGACAGCTGAGCAGTATGTAACCTATCCAGAACCTTTCGTAAACACTTCATCTGTTCATGTTGTTTTTAACATTTGCTCCAAATCAGTGGTTCCCTAACATATTTTCTACCATGACACATACTTACTTTTTTCTTTTAAATTGGCTTATATTTAATATTAACATGTTAAGGTTTCTGGTGTTGTGTTAATGTTGAGATGAGAGCCAGATCACACATATATGCAATACCATGCAGATAGGGATGTTTACAATGTTCACCACTCTAGATAATTAATGGCAACTCTTTTGTTTCAGTTTACAGAGAGTGTTGGGCCTAAATTCACTGGATGGCGTTTTAAACCCTACGCATGTGAACGGCAAGCACATCGTTCACAACGTGTTCAGCGTTAATAAGACGGGCATAGTCGTACTGGAGAACAAAGCAGGTATGATGCTTTGCTTCACAATAAAAAAAGAAAATGTGTTTTGTTGCAACATATATTACAACTCCCCTATCTTCTTTTGCATCTCCAGAGGACATGCCATATTGGGTGGTATCAGCAATGAAATGCCTCGCCAATTGTAAGTGTACATTTTATACTCACTTTTGAAAAAACTCACCATCTGCTTCAGGACTGCAGTGAGTCTTCCACCTCAAGGACATAAGTACAATCTTAAACCTGAGAGCTTATGCTACAGTTACTTCACTAATGATCATTTTGAAAAAGTAGGTTCCAGATGGTAGATATCTTACTTTGAGTTTAACTGTTTACATAATGTGAGTGATTCCGCACACATAAACCATAAAAACCTAAGTAGCTGGTTTGCATTTTGATCTGCACGATCACATTAACTGGGGTTTGTCGTCGACATTCAATGTGAATGTCCTTAAAGTGAGAGACGGACAAATAATGTGTTAATAAGAGATGCCTGGAACTGATCCTGAACAATACAGAACACACCATTTTTAAACACACACACGGTGCTGAAAAAGAAGCAGGGATTGTACGCACATTCTTCCCTGTGAATCTTCCCATGCCAACAGCACTTTCATAGGCATGGTTCAAAGCTAGCAAAGAGGCCCCATAGTGAAAGTTCATTGCAGTCACATCATTAAAGCTCAAGGAATATATCACTTACATGTAATGCAGTTGAGGTGAAATTACAATAAATCTGGATACATTGCTATAACAGGGATAACTGTATATTTGCTATTGTCTTGCATTCTGTGTGCTTTCTCAGGGCCGAATGGCAATGGAAGCAAACAGCCGGCGTATCCTGGTTTTGAGAGGGATGTTCTGAAAACAGTAGCGGATTACTTCCAGAGGCTCAAAGAACCACTGCTGACTTACCATCTCTACGAAGTCTTTGTCAACATTCTCAGTGAGTGCTTCACCACATGCATCTACTGATATGTGTGTGAACAGTGTGTGTTTGACTCTCTTCTTCCTCATGTCTCTGCAGGTCTGCAGCAGCAGCAGGAGGGTGGCTACTGAAGCTCTGCAGCTCAGCACCCTCCTACTGCCCCCCCCCAACAGAAGACGCCTCCAGCTTCTCCTGCGGCTCATGGCGCGTGCGTGCCAGAATCCCCACCTGCCCCCCCTCAATGACGCCATCGCCACCCGCACACTGGTACACGTATCCAAAGTTTTAACATTCTGTTTCTGTGACTTTTCAAGGACACTGTAACAAACACTTTAAGTCCCCATTACCTTTTGTAAAACTTTGCATAGAAGAGGTTTTGTTTGCTATAGTCGTTGTATATTTGTATTTAATTAAAAAAAACCTATCGAGAACTCTAACACAGTATGGAAGGGGAGCAAGGACACACACATTCTAGCTTCTGGGCACAGAGGAATATTGTTTGTTCAGAATCATATCATGGTACCTGTGAAAACGGAAAGTGGGCAATTTTTAAAAAAAAATGTGAATTGGAATACAAAGCAGTCGGGATCTGTAGACGATATAGAAAGAAATTCCTAGGATTAGAGTGCAAAGATGATGTTTATTGCAGCTCTATTGCATTCAAATTACATTTGAAGCTTTATTCATAACATTTAAATGCCAAGCTGTTTTATTTTTTTGCATGTCTATTCATTCTGTTTAAAGCCGGCATTTCTGCACAGTGGCAGATAACAAGGAGCTACACTAATATAATTTTGTGTGACTGGCGAAGCCACACACAGTCTATTATTCGACATACTTATCTCATCTTATTCTCCTTCTTCCGCCACAAATGTTGTCATGCTACTCATCCGGCAATGCTGACACGAAACACAAAAAACACATCAAAACGTGCGGAATGACTGGGATCGGGTTGCTTTTTCTGCGATCATTTCCCCATAGGAATGAATGGGAAATCCATTTGAACAGAGCTAAAAAGATTCACCCCAATTCGACCCCATACAGATTCCGCATACTTCAACATAGAACAGAAATTACATGTTTAAACGGTTCTCGAGACTATGGACTTCATTAGACTAATTGGATATTAGCTAGTACGGTTCTCACGTAGTCGCAGCTTACGTTTTGTGAACATTTCACACTGTTTCCCATTTTTATAATGTGTGTGAGAGTTAAGACTTAGAGTGGGTGACATCACGGCTAGAGGGGAGAGGAGCTGGAAAATCTGAAGAGTTGTTTCCCAATTATTGCTCAGCTGGCCACAATCTTCACTCTTCATACATAATTTGGTGATCATAATGTAGGGAAATTTGTCACGGCCGCACCAATATGCTAATTTAATCAAATGGACTTACATATAGCAAACACAGAGTCATCGGTGTTCATCTGGTATCCTGAATACTCGGGTAGGATATTTAGCTGATTGGAGTTACAGTTTTTTACTTGGAAGCAATAATGCAGCACAATATTGTCAATACATTCCCTGACAGGCTGTCTCTCATTCACTGGCAGGGCGTTGCCGTGGAAACGCTTTGAACACACCTGTCGGTCGTTAACTAAATCCAGTGGTAATCTAAAGATGTTCAGAAACGATGCAGGAATGTGGTACAAGAATCCAAAAATGTAATGGATAAACAGTTAAAATAATAATACAAATAGTCAGCTAAAATGAATGGATATTCTTTGTTGTACCTCAATAATACAACTAATGCTATTAACAGGGGTGCACATAACTTTTTTTAGTGAGTTACTCAGATGTGTACCAGGAGACAGCGTTTGGTACTCACCCCACACGAAGTGTGGTCCTCCTCAGTGTCTCCTTCACTATCCTCTATTTATACTTCTTGCATGCTAGATGATGAAGATGCACCTCCCTGTCTCTTTTTAAGCCTCCGATTTGCTTTCTCCAAAACTGTGAAGTCCTTGCATTTCCTGAGGCCAAGTTGAAGGATCAAATACTAAGAAATTATCACATGACTTGAAGTCACATCTGATTTCAGATGTCAATCAATCAATCAATGAATGTTTATTTATATAGCCCAATATCACAAATGTTACATTTGTCTCAGTGGCAGAGGTCGCGTTAACCGAATATTTTCCATCTATGACGGATTTTTTTTAACAATGACGGACACATCTGAAAGCAGTCCGTCATTTTGACAGATTAGAACAAACTCGGAAAACAGCGCTAAAGTTTCCCCGCACCGAGGCTCCGGTGTTATGCCGTGTTATGCATGCCCTCCAAAAAGGAATTTATACCGTTTACAAACCTAACTGTGCCGTACAAATCATTGAAATGTCTGTGAGTTTTGGCTTTACGCTGTGCACGCTCCCGCGAGGTGCAGCAGCCATGCATAACACGGCGCATGTGAACTGTCCCCCCCTGTTGACAGTTCACGAGCATGCTTCCCCCCCCCAACAGAGTTGTGTAAAGGCCGACGGGTAATTCTGGATTTTGACGGAAGTTTTACGATCCTGTCCGTCAAAATGACGGGCAGCGAAAAAGTCTAGCGCAACCTCTGCTCAGTGGTCTTCACAGTTTGTACAAAATATCAGTATGACAATACGACACCCTGTTACGTTCCCTATTGGCTAGGGGAACAAAAGGGGAACTACACGACCAGAGTAGAATTGGTATGTGTTACAAGCAGTGTTGTGCTAGTCACTGAAAACCAGTAACTAGTTACCATTACTAGTTACTTCATTTCAAAAGTAACTCAGTTACTTTACTAGTTACTTACACAAAAAAGTAATGCGTTACTGTGAAAAGTAACGTTTTAGTTACTTACACAAAGGGCTCCCATTAATGCCCTTATAGCCTTCATTTCAGTACTGTTATTGCATTAGAGAATAATACAATCTGTTGATCAACTTGACATGCATTATATGCAATCTGGATTGCATCGATATTAGCTGGCTTTCCATTTTTGTATATTCTTTCTCCAGGTAGTTGGAAAAAGTTTTCCGTCCCATATGCCGTGTGCCGCCCGGACATGCTATCATGCTAACTAGCTCCCTGAAAGCGGGTGACTCCACTGTAGCAATAGCCTGCATGTGTTCTACAACATACCGTGCAATGGCTTTATCGACTTTTCCCTGGCCAGCAGTCCCTTGGTTAAAATCCAGCCGCTGTTGCTTAGGTGGAGGTGGAGTGGCATCGGCTGAGTCTCTGTGGTCTTAGCTACTAGCTTCGTCCCAGCATGTTGTTTTTGCAGATGTTTTAAGAGATTTGAATTACTGGTTTGGGCAGTAGATAGGATCTTTGACCTGCCAAGACACAACTTACATTTAACTAAAATGTTCTTTTCTTTGTGCTCGAAAAAAGTGAAATAGTGAGAATATCTCCAGGTGGAGAAACTAGACTTGAGCTTCGCCGCCGCCATGATAGTCTTGTTAGTAAACAACACAAACACGCCCACAGCCCGTCTCCGCATGTGACACAGGAAGTATCTAAGTACATTTACTCAAGTACTGTACTTAAGTACAGTTCTCATCTCTGTTCGCCTGGCTGTTGACTATATAAAAAAAACGAACGGAGTAACGCACCATGTAGTAACGGTAACTGAGTTACTGAATTTAAAAAGTAATGCGTTAGAGTACTAGTTACTGCCAAAAATAACGGCGTTACAGTAACGCGTTACTTTGTAACGCGTTACAGTAACGCGTTACTTTGTAACGCGTTAGTCCCAACACTGGTTACAAGCGGTTTACTTGTAACTGCAAATGAGTAAAATGATATACACAAACAGTTTGGCCCAACAACTATTACTATCTAACAAAAGGGTCTCCAAAAGAGAGTTGCCCACTACTATACAAAAAGGAAAGAAAATACCTCACTTCTAAAGTGGAACAAAACAATAAACCAAACAAGGCTGTGGGAGAACAGAGCTGGTGCTGATCAACAGGTGCTAATCACCTGGGTCTAAGCAATATACACACAAATACTGGTCTACAGGTGCTAATCACCTGGGTCTAAGTAATATACACACAAATGCTGGTCTACAGGTGCTAATCACCTGGATCTAAGCAATATACACACAAATGCTAAACACAGAACTACTACAACACACTGCTACTCAGTGTAGCTAACACAGGACCCTACTGAACACACTGCTAAGCAGTCTAACGAATCACAGAGTATGGCGGTAGTATAGCGAGAGGCTTGAGGCGTCTGTCCCATAATACAGAGCCTCCAGAGTGGTGATAGTCCGCGGCCTTTGTACTCCTCCCCAGCAGGTGTGCACCGGCTGTGCGCTGCGATTGGACGACGTCAATCCAATCACCATCTTCAGAGACGGACCAGGAGATGGGCAGCCAATGATGTTGGCGCAACCACACAGCTCATTTACATAAACACACACACAGCTGAAAACATTCACAGGCAGATTAAGGAGCAGACAAACAGCAACCGTAACACCCCCCCCCCCCTTAAGACACAAACCCACAGTTTTGTGAACCTAACACACTAACAAACTCCTAATAACACATACTAACATCTCAACTCAACCTGGACAAGCATCGGCCAACACATTCTCTGAACCCTTTATTGACGGGTGTCTACTGTGGTAGTCCCGCACAATCAGAGCCCAGTGCAGGAGACGCTGATTGTGCTTGGACACGCTGGGGCAGAATATAAATGAATCGTAACATGTAAACATCACAATTGGCCAAAGACTGGGTCCAACATGAACCTTAACATGTTGTAGAGCTAACACCAACACCAGGATTCGATGAACTAGCTGACGCTCTCGGGTTACCGGGAGTGTCGAGAAGTCTAGAGGCTTGTCTGAGCCGGCGTGTTGCGCCGGTCTCGCGACATCCTCACGAGGAGGAGGGGGAGCCACAATTTCTGGCTTCTCCCCGGACACAGCTTCATCGGAAAACACAGGCACAATCACAGGCTCAGATAATGAGACATCAGGAACACTTTTACTCGCCTGTGCACGGGTATGGGTGATCAGGCCAATACCGTTTGGCGGGGACATATTCTGCCGCTGCTCTTTACGCTTCAGAGCTGCGCAGTTGGCGATGACATGTCCAAACTGATGGCAATAGTAGCACTCTCTTTCCTCTCTTGCTACGCTATACACATTCAACGGCTCAGTAGATGGTGCGGCTGTTACACGGCGCGCTCTCTCAGTAGAGACCGGGGAAAACACAGATTTATGCGTCAGCACATACTCATCAGCTAACGCAGCAGCAGCAGAGAGAGAGTTTACCTTTTGTTC